TTTTTTTCGAGGTTACTATTCATTACTGTTCACGTGAATAGTAAATTTTGGGAATAGTGAAATTTTGTCGGCGATACGAATTTATCGACGGAGATGTTCTAATACACGGTGGTTCGCAAGAATTGTCAGAAACGATCCAAACGAATCCAGATAAATTGAAAAGTTCGATGGTGCGAACTTTGGCTTTTGGAAGATGCAGATTGAAGATTTTTTGTACCAGAAAAATCTATATCATCCCCTCTCAGGAAAGCAACCAGAGGGCATGAAGAATGAAGACTGGGCTCTTCTCGACAGATAAGCCCTCGGAGTTATCCGACTGACGTTATCCCGAATTGTTGCTTTCAACATAGCAAAGGAAAAGACCACGGCGGGTCTTATGACGACTCTCTCCAGTATGTATGAGAAGCCTTCAGCCTCAAACAAAGTTAATTTGATGAGGCGATTATTCAATTTGCGGATGACGGAAGGGGCATCGGTGGCACAACACCTGAATGAACTCAACACAATCACAACCCAGTTGAGTTCAGTGGAAATTGAATTCGATGATGAAGTTCGAGCTTTAATTCTCTTATCATCTCTACCAGACAATTGGAATGCTACTGTTACAGCAGTCAGCAGCTCATCGGGAAACAGCAAATTAAAATTTGACGATGTTCGGGATCTGGTATTGAGTGAAGAAATTCAACGAAGAGAATCGGGTGAAGCATCAACCTCCTCAGCCTTGCACACGGAGTCTAGAGGGAGAACTTCAGAAAGAAATTCAAATCGTGGCAGATCAAAATCCAGAAGGGAAAATCAATAACAGGAAAGAAAGATTTTACCTGTTATAACTGCGGCAAGAAGGGTCACTTTAAAAGAGATTGTTGAGCACTGAAGAAAAATACCGACGCACAGGATTCTGCCAACGTGAGAGAGGAGACAGGTGATGCCATGATTCTAAGCGTCAACAGTCTGATTGAATCATGGATCTTGGATTCAGGGGCATCTTTCCACTCCACCCCATGCCAAGAAATCATGGAGAATTATGTCAGTGGTGCTTTTGGAAAGGTTCATCTAGCTGATGATGAAACTTTGAAGATCGTCGGAAAAGGAGACATCCGACTAAAGCTGCCAAACCAGACCACCTGGAAGCTGACAGGAGTGAGACATATTCCTGGCCTCAAAAGAAATCTGATTTCTATAGGACAACTTGATGGAGAAGGTTATAGTACAACCTTTTCAGGCTGTGAATGGAAGATTACCAAATGAGCACTCGTCATTGCTCGTAGTAAGAAGACTGGTACTCTCTATAAAACTTCAAATTTAGAGAATATCATTGCAGCCGCAAATGTTGATGGAAAATCAAACCTATGGCACCAAAGGCTTGGCCATATGAGCGAGAAAGGGATGAAGACACTTTTTTCAAAGGGGAAGTTGCCGGATCTAAAGAATGTAGATGTCGGACTATGCGAGGATTGCATCTTTGGCAAACAAAAGAAAGTCAGCTTTGCAAAGATTGGTAAGACACCCAAGGCTGAAAAATTAGAGTTGGTTCATACTGATGTATGGGGACCATCTCCAGTTCCATCTCTTGCAGGCTCATTATATTATGTCACATTCATTGATGATTCTACAAGGAAGGTGTGGGTTTATTTTCTGCAGAAGAAATCAGAAGTCTTCGATACCTTCAGAAATTGGAAGGCTATGGTGGAAAATGAGACTGGTTTGAAAGTCAAGCGGTTGAGGTCTGACAATGGAAGAGAGTACAGAGACAGTAGATTCAGAGATTTCTGCGCAAATAATGGGATCAAGATAGAGACAACAGTTCCCATAACACCGCAGCAGAATGGCGTAGCAGAGCGCATGAACAAAACTCTAAATGAACGTGCCAGAAGCATGAGGATACATGCCGGATTGCCCAAATTACTATGGGCTGAAGCTATCAACACTGCAGCTTACCTGATCAACCGTGGGCCCTTAGTTCCCTTGGATGGCGGAATACCAGAGGAACCTTGGAGCAAGAAGGAAATAAACCTTTCACACTTAAGAGTGTTTGGTTGTATTTCTTATGTACACATAAACACTGCTGAAAGAAGTAAACTTGATGCAAAGTCTAACAAATGTGTCTTTGTTGGTTATGGCGGTGATGAGTTCGGTTACCGGTTTTGGGACTATGAAAATCTGAAGATCATCAGAAGCAGAGATGTCATTTTCAATGAGAATGTGATGTACAAAGACAGGTCAACTGTAGAATCAAGCAGCTCAAATACCAAAGCTGAAACAAAGGAATTTGCTGAGTTCGAGGAGATTTCTGGAAATGATGTTCAGATCATTCCTGAAGCAGTTCAAGAAGAACCAGTCATACCGGAACTAAGACGCTCCTCCAGAATTCCTAAACCAACCCAACGGTATTCTCCTTCTTTGCACTACTTGTTGCTGGCTCACAATGGTGAACCAGAGTGCTACGATGAAGCAATGCAGGTGGAGAATTCAGTCAAGTGGGAGTCTTCCATGAAAGATGAGATGGACTCGCTTATGTCAAATCAGACGTGGGAATTAGCTGAATTGCCACCATGCAAGAAAGCGCTCCACAACAAGTGGATTTACAGGATCAAAGAAGAGCACGATGGGAGCAAACGCTACAAAGCAAGATTGGTTGTCAAAGGTTTTCAGCATAAAGAAGGTATTGACTACAATGAAATTTTCTTTCCAGTCGTGAAGCTTTCTACAATCAAACTGGTGTTGAAAATTGTAGCTACAGAAAATTTACATCTTGAGCAGTTAGATGTAAAGACAGCTTTCCTTCATGGTGATTTGGAGGAAGAAATCTATATGAGGCAGCCAGAAGGCTTCATAGAGGCAGACAAGAAAAACCTGGTATGCAGGTTAAAGAAGAGCTTGTATGGTTTAAAACAAGCTCCTAGACAGTGGTACAAGAAGTTCGATAGTTTCATGAGTAACAGTGGTTTTACCAGATGCCAAGCAGATCATTGTTGCTACATCAAGAGGTTCGAAAATAGCTTCATTATTTTATTGTTGTACGTTGATGACATGCTTGTTGCAGGCTCAAGCATGCAAGAGATCATAAACTTGAAGAAAAATTGTCGAAGCAGTTTGCTATGAAGGATCTGGGCGCTGCAAAGCAGATTCTTGGGATGAGGATCAAGAGAAACATAAAGTCGGGGACTTTGATGTTATCACAGGCTGAGTACATCAACAAAGTACTCTCTAGGTTCAACATGCAAGATGCTAAACCAGTAAGTACACCTTTAGGTGTTTATTTCAGACTTTCCAAAGACGAATCACCAAAGACGGAGGAAGAACGTGCACACATGGTGAAGGTGTCGTATGCCTCAGCAATTGGAAGTCTAATGTATGCCATGGTTTGTACCAGACCAAATATTGCTTATGCAGTGGGAGCTGTTAGCAGGTACATAAATAATCCAGGCAAGGTACACTGGGAAGCAGTCAAATAGATCCTCAGATATCTGCGGGGTACCACAAATAAAGCACTTTGTTTCAAAGGTGGAGATACGATACTGACAGGCTATGTAGATGCTGACTTAGCCGGAAATGTCGACATCAGAAGGAGCACTACAGGGTATGTCTATACTCTAGGAGGAACTGCGGTGAGTTGGGTTTCTCAACTACAGAAGATAGTTGCTCTCTCCACAACTGAAGCAGAATATGTCGCTGTTACAGAAGCCAGCAAGGAGATGGTATGGCTCCAAAGTTTCTTGGAAGAGTTAGGCAAGAAACAAGAAAACAATGTCTTGTATTGCGATAGTCAAAGTGCTATCCATCTAGCAAAGAATCCGTCTTTTCATTCCATGACGAAGTACATACAATTGCGATATCATTTTATCCGGTCTCTTCTGGAAGATGGGATTTTGAAACTTGAAAAGATTAGTAGAGCTCAAAATCCGGCAGACATGTTGACAAAGACGGTGACCACGGAAAAACTGAAGTTGTGTTCAACTTCAGTTGGCATGCTAGAGTAACAAGACTAGAAAAGCTGTTGCATTGATCGATGTGTGAAGACAGATTAAAATCAGTCTTCAAGTGGGAGATTATTGAAAAGATGGCAGCTGGCTAAATTAAAAATGCCAAATTTTGGCAGCCATTCTTCAAGCAGCCGGCGGCTAAATAATTTCAAATGGGGGCTGCTAAAATTTTTTATTATTTTGTAATAGGGATAATTATAAAATTGAGTCATTGAACTTTAGGGTATTTATAAGATTAGCCCTTAAGTTTCAACTATAAATATCCTAATTCATTTAGCTTCAAAATCATCCCAAAATCTTCTAGTTCTCTCTCAAGTGTGTTTTGTAAACACCTGTAATTTTTTTCTCTTTAGTATAAGATCTGCAGCAGTCCGGAGACGTAAGCACAATTGGCTGAACTCCGTTATCAATTTTTCGGGTATTATTTTTCCACTTTTATTTCGTATTCTCACTAATCTGGCTATAGAGAAATTACTTGTTACTCGTTTATTTCCCAACACTTTCTTTTCAAATCTTTTTATTTCAACTCTGTTAAATGAAGTTTTAAGGTCATCATGAACCCTTAAAAAAAAGGTCTTCAAGTCTTGGTTTTTATTTTCAAAATCATCAATTTTTACTTGTATTTCTTTTACTTTACTTTCTACTTCATTATTAGTTTTAAAAATAAGATCATACTCGATTTTTAGTTTTGAAAAAAAAAATTATGCTTGGAAAACATGATCTCAAATTCCAAATTTCATTCATCAAAAGTAAAATCATTTGAAGTACTTATTAGATTCAATCTTCTTCAACCGTGGACACTCAAATTTGACATAGCTCGACTCTTTGCACTCATAGAAAATGCTATAATGCTTCATTTACTTTGTTCATAATTAACTCAGAATGCACGCTCCAAATTCCATCTTCGATATTTAAATAAGCGAGTTACCTGTTAGCTGAGTTTTTATCTTCCTTTGTAGGTGTTTATGCACTGTAACTTTTAAATGACGAATGGAAGACATTGTAGGATCATCAATATTCTGTTACCAACATTTTCTTTTTCTCGGGGGTGCTTAAATTTTGGCATTATATTTGTTTGATTTAATACGAATATGGAAGTAAAACATGGATTAACCCAGGCAAATGAGTAAAATGAATGCCTACGACTTGATTTTCTTGTGCATCTGGGAAGAGAATGCAATGGCAATACACCCTCCATGGCAGCAAGTTTCTACCGTTCTTCGGCACTAAATCGGTTCCAAGCCTCCTGGAGATTTCACATAAAATAAGATTTCACAACTAAAATTTTCTACAAATAAACGAAAGCTAGGTAAAGGGAAGTAACAAACCTTGAGAAGATCAAAAACTTTCTCGCAAATATACTTTTGCTGTATGGTAGCCCCTCGTTGCTGCAACTTATCAGGATGAACACACAACGTGGCTTTCCTATATGCTTTCTTTACAGCTGCGGTGGCTATAATATCTGTAAGTGGTATTGGCTGCCAACCGCTTTCGGGGCCAAGGATCTGCCAGCAATGACGAATATTCAGTTAAACCAAGACCTCATAGCTAAAAAACCAAGAACTATGTATTTATGAACACATACAAATAGCTGTTACTTACATATTGTAACGTTGATAGCAATGCACGTAATTTTCCCTGCTTCCCACTTGACCACCTTTTGACTTCAGCATCCAGAGTTTCAGCTAACCTCTGCCATAAAAATTCCGATCCAAAACTGTTAGACAATATCACAAGAACCATAACTGTCCCCATTGCAAAAGGGTTTCTTACTACAATTTAATGAAACATTACATTTCTTTCAGCTTGTTCTTTCTGAGCAAGAAGATCGCGCTCGTTCTTCTCCGCAAGAGCATTGGCCTGGAAACAATCAAGCAGAAAAACAAAGGGTGAGATTTTCAATACTTGTCCTAAAATTTTAATAGATTTTGGGTCCGGATTGAAGGAAAAGGGACATTTTCAGAAAAAATAGTAGAAAGCATACTGCTCGTTCTGCAGTCCTTTGATGTCTTTCCGTCCTAGCTTTACATCTTTGAGCTGACTCACCAGCACCAATATCCAGCCCCTCGGGATATTTTGAAGCTTCATGAAGAAAAATAGAGACATTTCAATATTTAAGGGATTTTTTTTTTGCCCATATAAGTAATCATAAAAAAGGTCATTTTTTCCTGTACCACATACCACATTGATTTGAAGAACCAACATATGAGGAAGATGCAGGAGGACACGAAACTTTGTATCGTAAATCCTGCAAGAGATTGTATTAATTATTTCTTTGCAGTTCTGTGCAATTCATAAAATAATAATAATAAGCTCCAAAATTAACAGAGAGGAGAAATGCATGACAAATGAAGACACTAACATAAGATTGGAAGCTCTGCTTTGAATCAGAGAACTTTTCAGCCTGGTTTCTGGCTCCAAGGGAAGCCTTTTCGGACAAAGCTTTCTCCAGGGCACGCTTCCGGGCCTCTGCAGTTGCTCTCTCTACCGCAGCACGCTCAGCTTTAAGTTTGGCTTCCAAAAATGCCTTATCATTGGCCTCAGCAGAAGGCTTGGCTGCCTCTCCTTGGGTTTCAGCTTTTACCTTATGCTGTGCTTCTATATTTGTTCTTCCAGCAGCAGCCCTCTCACGGGCTTCTGCGAAGGCCCTTTCACGAGCTTCACGAATTGCTCTTTCAACAGCTATTCTCTCCTTTTCTTTTTCCCTTTCCCTCTCTTTTGCTTCATCCACTCTTCTTTGTTTTTCCTTCACTAGCTTAACTTCTTCCCGGGAAGCATTTTTGGTTTCACTCTCTACCTTCATCAGGGTTTCAGGACAATTCTCGTGTTTGCATTCTGAACTTTGGCCTGCTTCAATCTCATGTGCCATTTCCGCAGATTCATGTTTCTCCCCAAACTCGCAATGTAACTGTGCATCAACCAATCTTACCTGCTTCAATGTAACTTCTTCTCGGCAAGCATTTTTTGTTTCCCTCTCTTTCTTCATAAGAGTTTCAGGACAATTCTCCTCTTTATATTCTGTACTACAGTCTGCTTCCATCTCACGAGCTATTTCTGTTGCTTCATGTTTCTCGCCAAAATTGCAATGTAACTGGGAATCAACAAATCTTACCTCATCAGAGTGTTCAAGGTTATACTTGTTCTCCTCCAGTTCTGAACAAATTTTACCCTCCCCGAGATCTACCGTTTCACAAGCCTGTTCTTCTACAAGCTTCTCAATGGTTAAGCTTCTTTCAGATGTCTTGGAATACTGCTCATATTCATCTCTTTCAAACAATATATCTGCTGTATCAACATCTATACTGCTTCTGTCAAAACTAAATGCATCTGTTGTATTCTCTGCTTGCTGCTTAATCTCTTCTGGTTTCAAGTTGCTTTCAGCCAAATCAGATTTATCAAATGCCAGGTTTTCTTCCAAGTCACTAGCCACTTCATCTGCTTCAGAATCTCTTCTAGTTTCTTCACTCTCACTAAAAGCTTTACATCCTTCTGCAATCCCTCCATTGTCTTCATTAAGAGGTAATTCTGGAGTCATTTCACAGCTGTCTATATTAGTGGAGGGTTCTAAAGTGTCACCTACGTTGTTAAATTCATTTTCATTGTATACATTATCAGCTAATTCAAGTTCTTCCCAATTGCAGTCGAGAGCATCTTCCCTTGCTTCCATCATCTCATAGGCTTCTTGATCAGTCTGTGTTAGCATCTCTTTAGTTCCCCTACTCTCAGAAGCCTCTTCTTGTCCCTCATCTGCTACTTCCATTTGATAAGTATCTTCAAGAAAATCTCCAGTCTCTTCAGCTTCCATAAATTCCTCATTCCCCAACAAATCACCAGTTTCTTCAAGTTTCCTCTTTTCTTCCTCATGATCAGAAGTGTTATCTCTAAGATCATCAAGTATTTCAGGTTTCTCCATTTTGTCTGACATCAGTTCATTGTCTTCACTATCGCAAGCATCTTCCTCTTCATTGTATTCTGGTCCACAAGACAATTTGTGTTCCCCAGGCAGTTCTGATATCTCAAAAGCTTCTTCAGATTTCTTTGTGAGTTCTTTTTGCACAGAAACTTCTTGTATTAGCATCCCATCGTCTTCCTTCTCGGAAGCATCTTTTAAAGTATAACCATTTTCTGGTTCAATCACACAATTTTGTTTCTCCTCCACATCTACCCTTCCATGAGCAACTGTTAATCTCTCCAAATTGTTATTATCTTTTAGTTCTCCCATTTCAACATTTCTCTCTTCTATAGATTTCTCTGGACCTTTCAATTTCCTTTCACATAAGTCTAGATCATTGCACACTTTCTCTTCAGTTTTTTTCCACTGTTCATTGAACCTTAGTTTGGCTTCATCTTCTTTCGGATCACAAAGCTCTATATCGGGCACTGATCTGTGCAGACATTCCTCCTTATCACAAAACTCTTTTGATGTATCTATTTTCCTCTCCTGCTCAGCAGCTTCCTTTACAACATCTGGTTTTTCAATGATTTTCTTCTCTTCTCCTTCATGCTCATTCATATTCAGGACTACATTTTTTCTTTCTCCCTCTTTTGCTGCTTCCTTTTTTCCCACTTCCTGTCTACAATCGGCCTGTGAAGATATGAAATTCTCTGCACGTATTTCTCCAGCAGATTCTCTTGCGATGAAACCTCTCTCCTCCTCTTCTGGTTCAGCAGCCACTTGATCCGCTTTCATCACATTTTGCATTTTTACTCCACTGGAAGTTTGCTGAGAAGCCAGTATCTTTTCATTAGTCTCCTGAGCTTTATCTTCCCTGAAATCATTTTGTTTGACAGTATCTTTTTCCCTCTTTCTCTCCTTACCTATTGAACTACCATTAAAGCTGGGTTTGACCCGACCCATCTGACCTTTTCTCCTTTCCATTATTTCTTTTGCAACCTTTAACCTGGCTTGAGCCTCCTCTATTGCCTTCTTCACTGCTGCAGCAGATGAAGCAGCAACTGAATTTTCATCCACTTCATCATCCAAGTAAGGGGGAGAAGAAAAACCAGCATCAATATCCAAAGATTGACTCCTCGGAACCCCAAACTTCCAAGAATCACGACTATTAACAACCTTGTTATACGACATGCTTGAAGCCCGGGTCACCTCCGAAGGAGGTATTCTATGGCCAAAATCATAGGAACCGAATAATACATCATTATAATCAGACCCATTACTTTTAGTTCTGCCATGCAATTGATCAACACATTTTGAAGTCTGTTTACAATCAAATCCGTTACTTTTAGTTTCGCCATGCAGTCGATCAACACCTTTCGAAGTCATTTTACTAGCACCACAAGGTTGAACATCCGATGCCGGTTTCTTGCAATGTATGCTATCCCTTTTACCCTCACCAAACTTGTCGGTCTCATATGGCTCATTTACAACAGAAGAAACCGGCTTCTTCCTCAATGGGGTAACTTTTCCATCAACTAGGCAAGTAAAACCCGGAACAGCTACATGTATTGTTGCATTTGTCCCCTCTTTGCCTCCAGGGATGCTTTTATTATAAGACATTTTGAACTGTTTCCCACCATTACTTGATCCATGGGAGGCCTGATCATTCGACAAAACTTGATTCCCCACTGGATTACTCGAAGGGTACGAGAATGACCCTTCTGAAAAAGATGGAGTCTTAGCAGGTCTCCTATAAAATTAATTAACTCAGGCCGGATTTTTCACACGTATATATAGAAAAAAAAAAGTTAATAATATTTAGAACTATAACATTAACGCAATGTTGGCAAGGTTTTAACTTTGAAATTTAAATATTTTACCCCTTCAAAGAACAATGTCAAAGATCAAGACAGCCGTTCTCAAATCAACCAAGCTCACAACCAATAGTTCAGAAAAAAGGGTATGTTATTCTCTTTGGAGAGTCATGAAAGGTATTAGCTTTGCATAAGAATGTAAACATTTTTCAACACCCAAACACGCTCTAACACCGTATTTAACCAACCATCTCGAATAAGCAAAACAAATAGAAAATAAAACAAAAGAACTTACTTCTTATCTCTCGTTGGTTTAGCAACGAATTCTTCATGAGAGACTGCAAAATCGAAGCCCCCAAAACCGCCAAAAATGTTGGAATAATCAAGCTTCGAGCTCGAAACATCGACCGAGAACTTCCTCTGGTTCAACTCAGGGACATCGAGAAACGGAATAGAAGAACCCGAACCGCCGCCGAATATCTCGGCGTAGTCTTCAACTCCCGATCCGGCCTTACTTTGACCAGCAAAAACGCCGTCGTACATATTTTTACCGTTGAAGCTGTGGCCATTACTAAGTTTCTTAGTGAAAGCCGTGGCAGCCGAAGCTCTTTGGTATTCCATTGAAGATCTTTAGGGTTTGTTTTTTGTTTTCTCTGTTTCACTGCAGAGTACAAGACAGGAAGAGAAGAAGACTGGGGAGACGAGAAAATGAAGAGATAATTTTGATTAGAACGAGAAAATGATGAGAACAAAAAAAGGAAATATTATTAAATGTGGTATATTTGTCAGTGTACGGTAAGTTAAATATGAGAAATTAAGAGGGAGAAAAAGAAAAGAAAAAGGAAGAAGGTAAGGAGCGAAAGGCTTTTGCCGGTGAGTGATGTTTAACTGGGGAGGTCACATGTCTCGATGAGCAATCGGCACCAGCTTTATCAGTTGTCGTTTTACTAGAACTAGAATGTCGTGTTTCCAGGCTCCAACCTGTCACCAACCAACCATCAACACCGACACGGTGGCAATGAAAGGGTAGTTTGAGGGTTTTTTGCAGTTGGTTTTTCCTGTAGAATTAGGAGTAGTGAGTCTATTAAAGTAAATGTTCGAGTTAATCGGTTTTGGTAAACTATTTAAATTTTATTTAACTTTTTAATTAAATTTATAAAATTTTAAGTCATGTTTAATTGAATGTATTTTTCAAAATTTAAATATAATTATTTATAATAATATAATATTAATTTATGGATTAAGATTCACTTACACATATAAAATTCTTTTAGTTTTATATAGATTTAAGACTGTTGGATGAGTAAAAATATATGACTGTGATTAACAATAAGAAATGAGAAGGTATTCACTAGAAAAAAATAATGAGTTAATTTCAGTCATCTATTTTCACTCGTCTAACAGTCCTAAATATGTGTAAAACTAAAAGAGTTTTACATTATATAATAGGATCTTATCTCTTAATTTATTCTAATTTAATTAAATAATAATATATAATCATATATTATATGCATATATTTTATTCATATTCTCTCTCACATGACTAATTAAATTTTATAATATTATTTAATAAATTAAATGTTATTTAAAATTATATATGTATTTATAATTCTATTTTTTTAGTGAATAAATTTTGAAAATAGAGTATTGATATAAATGTCAAAGGAGTTAAGAAATTAAATTATAGAAATTATAATTAGATGATTAAATAATTCAAAAAATAAAGTTTTTTTAAATGAAATTAGATTTTACTCAGCCCATGATAAATGCAACTTTATTTTTAAATTGGCAATTTTTTTTATAAAAATAGCTAGTTTTATTAAAAAAAATATTTAAATTATAATAAATATTTACGATCACAATCATAAAGTAAATACATAATAATAAAATTTTTCTATAATTAGTAACACAACAAAATTAACCACTTAAGATCACACAAAGAGCACACAAAAAGGTTATAAAAAATCTAACCAAATAAGCTCAAACAAAATGTAGATATGAACAGATCGGACCGCATCGACAAACGAATCACAAAATGAGATCAAGTTATTGAAAGACCACAAACAAACTGTAAATCAGAGTCAAACGACGTAAAAAGGCTATCCACGAATGCAAATCGTGTATCCAAATCCAATCCAATTATTCAAAGCATGAAAGATCAACATAATAACAAATAAGCATCATCTTATCAGTCGTGATGATGTCAAATCCAATTATAAAAAAATGATAAACGAAAACAACTGCTAAAGGATCGAAAATATAATATAAAGGCAGGGAAAACGTGTCATAAAGGCATCAAGATACACTATAATAAAATAAAGTAACGATAAAATTTAAAAACAAGAAAAAAGTAAAGTTACACTATAATAAAATAAAGAAAAAAATAATAAATACTAACGGTCAACAAGTAACACCAAGATTGATGGTGTCGTTACTCGCGAACCGCCATTACAAAGACGGAAAAAAAAATTTGGTTTTATTATAAAAAATATATGAAATTAAGATCTGTAACCTCTCATTTTAGGGGCTAAATTTTATTAGTTTTAAAGTACATGTTGAAAATATTTTGATGTTTCGATATAACAAATTAAGTTAAATGAATTTTAAGATTTTACAAAGATTTTCTAAGTATATTCGATGTAATTATTCGAATATCAAAATATTACTCCAAGTCTTTCAAAGTTTATTTTAATCCTTACTAAAGTGTAAAATTGTGTTTTATACTTAAACTATTTTAAAACAATTTTACAAAGTATTTCAAGCCTTAATCGAGCCAAAAATATTTTCTTTTTAAAGGGTTTCAAGAAAAATCAGATTGTCCATGGGGTTCAGATTCCCCCCAGGGGGTACAGATTCCCCCTGCATGGTTTGGCTCCGAGAAATAACAGGTTACTCGAAGGGAGCCGATTCCCCCCTTGAGGGTACTGATTCCCTCACTGTTCATCAGCCCAATGGTCATAATATTTGAATATTATGAAGGGGCATCGATTCCCTATGAAGGGGTACCGATTTCCCCCATTCTGGGTAGCATATTTTACAGAAAAATCATTCCCAAACGGCTCCAAAACATCCCCAACGGCTAGATATGACTTCAAACACATTCCAAGCTATAAATACAAGCTAAGGACACTTGAAGAAGTATATAGAACAACTATCCAAGCAATCAAACACAAGAGAAGAGTTTTTCATTCTTATTTCATCTTTATCTTGTATATATTTTGTTCTTGTGAGCTCAATCTTGTAAACACCTACCTTAGAGAGGTTTTCTTGTTTACATTTCTTATCATTTTGTAAAGGGGAAAGGTTCTAGCTAATCCCGTGTAAAAGCTAGGAAAAGGTTCTAGTTTAGCCCGGAAAAACTAGGGAGTTTGTAAGGTTACTCTTTATCCTAAAAAGAAAGAACAAATTAGTGAATTTGTTGGAAAATCCATGGTGAGGAGCTAAGGTAGTGGACGTAGACTTTGATTTAGAAAGTCGAACCACTATAAATCGCTATACAATTCTCTATCTTTCAATCTCCTTACTCCCTAAACACAAAACCGTTCCGACCCCTCTTTGCAAACCATTCCAGTTATCGATTCGAGCTTCCGAAAATCCTAACAATTGGCATCAGAGCCTAACTCGTTAAGAAGGTTTAACCACCTTGAGACTATCCTAGAAGAAGCTCTACCAATTCCCGACGCAACCGACAAAGAAATGACTTTTTCCTCCGGTGCTTATTATCTTGAAGAATATCCTATTATGGATTCACAAACGGTCAACAAGCCACCCTTCTTTAATGGAGCAAATTATGCACATTGGAAGAATAAGATGATGTACTTCATTAAATCATACAATCTAGGAGCTTGGTACTCAATCATGGACGGTTACTCCTCTCCACCCGGCAAGTACAACAATTGGAGTATAGAAGAGTAGAAAAATTTTCAGCTTAATTCTAAGGCTATACATATTCTATTTTGTGTTTTAGGCCCAAATGAATATGGAAGAGTCTCATCTTGTTCCAGTGCCAAAGAGATTTGGGATAAGCTCCAAGTCACCCATGAAGGAACCGACGAAGTGAGGGAATTAAAGAAAAGTCTTCTCAACCATAGCTACGAGAACCTCAAGATGAAACCCGATGAAGACATCAAAACTATGACGGATAGAATTTACGTGATTGTCAACGGTCTCAAGGGATATGGAGAAGTAATCCCAAATGAGAAGCTTGTGAGGAAGATGATTTACTCTCTTCCAAAAGAGTGGCAATCAAAGAAGACAACCATTATTGAAGCAAGAAACCTAAAGTCTCTCACTCTTGATGAGCTAATTGGTTCCTTTCTCACTCATGAGATGATGGTGAAGGAAGATGAAGAAAGGGAAGAGAAGAAAAACAAGAAGAATAAGAAGAATAATAATAATGAGGACGTAGGCATCAATGAAAGCTATCAAGATTCAAGTGATGAGGTGGATGAAGACGATGATGAACAAAAAGAAGAGATGGTTAAGCTCTTGAAGAAACTCAAGAGATTCATGATTTCCAAGGAAGTAAAACATGAATCAACCAAGAATAAGAGTCCCTCGGTATGTTTCGATTGTCAAAGAAAGGGGCATGTCATGTATGAATGTCCTCTTCTAAAGAAAAAGGGGAAGAAGGCATTTGTTGCATCTTGGAGTGATGAAGATGATTCCAATGATGAAGATGAAGTAGTCAACCTATGCCTCATGACCACTCAAGAAGAATTTGAGGTATCTTCTAACTCAAATGAATTTAATTCATTTACTTTTGATGAGTTACAAGATGCTTATAATAGGTTGTATTTGGGATTTGAGACCATGAATTCCAAATATACGAAATTAATTTCAAAACTCAAAAATAAAGATAATTTGATTTGAAAGCAAAAGTTGATTTTGAAAATCAAAATGAAATTTTGAAAAATAATTTAGAGCTTTCAAAAATCAAAATAAATGATTTAGAAAAAGAAAATTTTGAGTTAGGTGTTAAGTTTGAAAGCTTAATAAAAGAAAAAGAATTAATTTCCAAAAACAACCTATTATGTTTAAATATGGCAAAATGCTCATATTGCCATTATCATGGTCATATGGAATATACTTGTCCTTTGAAGAAAGGAAAACGTTTTAAAATTAGGCAAGTATGGGTTCCAAAAGGAACAAGGGGCATTGTAACTAACGTCCAAGGATCCAAAGCAATTTGGATACCAAAATCTACTTAAATGTCTCTTGTAGGTGTGTGGGAGCAATGGTGATGAGAGTGATGATATTCAAGATGCTCTAGCCACACATGAAAAAGGAATGGGTAACCTCTAAGCTTAATGCTTTTAATTTTGGCTATTTGGTTGCTCATTTGATTTTAAGCATGCATGAGTTTTGTTTTTAAATGATTATGCATCATTGTTTTAATCTCATGTATGTTGAAAAGATGATTATGATGAACATTTTAAAGTTATATTAATTTTTAAGAATTTTTAGTTCATCATAATAAAATTTTGATCAAAATTGGTTTTAATGCAATTGATATCTCTCTAACAATTGATATCAATTTTTCAAATACTTTGATTTTACAAATTTTAAAAAATTTTGACCTAAATTTGAATGTTTATGCATGTGGTTTAAATGAAAATGATATCTCTCTAACAATTGATATCAAAATTATCAAAAGCATAGCATTTTTGGAAAACTTTATGCATATGCACTTAATTTTAACAATTGATATTGATATCAAATTTCAACAATTGGTATTGCATAAAGTATTTTAGTATTGGATATATTGAATTTCATGTGCTACTAACATGTTTGTTATTCTTTGTTGAAATTCAATTTTGTTTA